AGGCCAGAGGTGCGGGGGATGAGAGGATTCACCGGAGACAGAGTGGGGAGCAGAACAGGCAGACTGATGAAATACACTGCTGAGGGGAGCAGCAGACGAGACAGGAGAGGTCTGCTGTGCCATGTGGGTAGCTCCCTGGCCAGGGATCAACCTCGTGCTGCAGAGACTGCGGATTGCTTCATAGGTTGTGTCTTAACCCCTTGTGCCACCAGGGAGGCCCCACAGTGTATTTGTATAGTACATTTAGGTATGAGAAAAAAATCATAGAATCAAACACAGAAATATCATTGTTCTAGGCCAAAAAATCCAGAAATTTCATCTTGTTGGTTTCTGCATGGACTTTCATGCCCTGCAAGAGCTCATAGTGTGCAGGATCACTATGGGCTTCTGGGGGTACTGAAGCTATCTTTCCTGCACCAAATCTCAAGTGATGAGTTTCCTGGGCTCACTAATTATAAAGTGTCTTCTGCCATCACCAACCACCAATACTTTCCAGAATTCCCAGACTTCACCAGTGGCATGGTTGCCCTTATGAAGATCACACCCAGGAAATGCATCAGGAGATCTATCATGGGTGACTTTCTGTACCATTCAAGCTCCCATCAATGCTGATGTCAAGTTTCCCTCCTAGGCCTTAGTTCATCACTGGGGTTTTCTTCCTTCAAGTCAAAGGCAAAGACCAGCTTCATTTGCTCAGATACTCTCTCGAGAGCTTGAAGGAAGTACTCCTTGTATTCTCTCTTGACAACCTTTAGCATGTCTGCCTCCATAACTGGCTCTTTCATTTCACACTGCTCCAGCAGGAAGTGTACTAACATCCCTGCCTGCCTAGATGCCTCATCTAGTGCTCTCGGTGGAAGCTGAGACCTGGCATGTGCTTATGCTTTGAGTCTTGGCATCTTTATCTGAACTTGTGTGTGGAACACCTGCAACAGCAGCAGTGATAGAGGGGGCTCTCTGGGACTCCAGGGGAGGACCCGCAGCAGGAGAGGTCAGGGGATTTCTCCCCAGGAACAGGAGAGGGGAAGAAGGAGGACTCTTTTGCTGCTGCTACAGCAGCGTGAGCACCCCTCGGACCCTGCATCTCCCCCTGGGCCTGGTGTCATTTCTCAAAGACACAGAACTTACTCCTCTGACTGACAGGCATGAGAACAGTGGCCAGAGACAGCAGACACCAGTGTGGGCAGCAGAGCAGGTGATGGGAGCACCGGAGGAGGGAGAATAAGAGGCTGTGAGTGCCCACAGCAGGGAGATGCCCCCTTGGCTTTAACCAAGGCTGCCTCTGCAAGTTTCCTTGAGGCCACTGCTCTAGGACCCCACAGGGCTCTGGTCCTAATGGCCAGCTTGTCCCCAGAGGCTGCAGGCTGCCAGCCCGGCCTGCAACTGACTAGGATGGCAGCAGATATTAGCCATGGAGCCACCTTTGTCCTGGGTAGGGGCTTCTTCTGAGTTTGCAGTCAGGGCCAGCATGCCAGCACCTGGCAGGGTCTGGGTCTCCTCCCCTCTGCCACTCTCTTCTGTGCAGTCCTCTGTCTTCTGGATTCTTCAGGTCTCCTGTGATTCAGAGTCCTGACCCTTGACGCAGCCTCAGGCCTGGGACCTTCCTTTCTGTGGATCAGTTGCTGCAACTTCAGGCCAAGGATCTTGCCTCCTTTAGGCCTGGTATAAAGAACGAGAGGGACCCTCTGCTTGACAGTCCTGCCCTAGGCCTCCGAGAGCTGGGGAAAAAAAGACTCTGTGATATTCCCTTTGGCGGGGGGTTTGGGGGGCTGCAGAGATTTGGGGGGGGCTAGGGTGACCCTTCAGTCCTCACAGGTTCCTCGGTATGAAATGTGGAAGGTGCTCCTCTCTCCTTGAACTGTGGCCTACCTCTCATAGTCAGACCTGTAGCTTCCTGATACTCACTTGCAACAAATGAGGATTATCTAATATGGCCGCAGCCCCAGACAGAAAGCTACGGCGAGCGGCTTCAGGCCCTGTGTTGGGTGGTCTCTCTCAAGGCCCTTGCTCAGGGGCCTAAATTTCACTCATAGGAGGGTCTAAGAGTTCTCCGTTGCTGACCTGGGAACACTCCCCTCAGACTAAGACCCTGACTTCTCTGAATGGGAAGAGAGAGGCACCTCTTTGTTATCTCTTCCAGGGACATCCCAGGCAGAAAGTAAGGAGGATTCTGTGGGTCCTCCACTGATGTGGGGTGGATGGCCCCTGCAGTCCTCAGGATCCACACCTTGCCTCCTGGTACAGCCTAGAAATCCTCCTGCTAACCCAAGCTACTTCACATCAGATCAAGAGCCTCACATTCCCGAGACCTCAGAGGAAACGTGAGCCACATATGGCCACCCGTCCATATTCTCACCAGACGGGTTGAAACTCTCTGTTCTGAGATTGGTGGCCTCCCCTAATTCTCATATTGTCAAGATGTGGACTGTTCTTTCAGCCCATCAGAGACCCCCAGAGTCAGACTGACACCATCACTCCGTAACTGAGGAGATAGCATATCTGACTATCCCTGAAAGATGGGGGACTTTGTGTCTCCCCTCCTCTCTGGGGCGTGTTCTCCCCAGTCCCCTCATAACATGGCCCCCAATTCCCTGAGAACCCCTAGGAAGAAGTGAAATATGCCTCATGAGGCCCCAACTGCCTGTGGTCTCCCAAGGCTAACAGTAGTGAAAGTGGAAGACTGACATAGTGGGGACTATGTTGCCCCCACTACGGGTAGGTGTTCCTCTCAGTCTTCAGGGCCCTCACCTTGATTCTTGCACAACCTGAAAGTCTTACCTCTGCTGACGTTTCAGGGCACCCCTTTTGCTGATGGCCCTCAACTTCATGAGATGTCCTGGACGAAGTAAGCCTCACATCACATGCCCCGTCTCCCAGATGCAACAATGGGGCAAGGCCTGGTGTGGCCCCTTTCTTTCTGGGAAGCACATCCTTATTGTCACTCAGTGCCACTACCTCGACTTCTGCTAGGTCCCTCTGTTGAATGGGGTCTCACCAATTATTCAAAGAACTGTAAGTCCCTGGGGTTCCACTCTGCACTGAACTATGCAGCCAACCTGAGAATCCAGGCTCTTGAGACTCTCCAAGCTGAAGTCAGGGGCCGTCCAAGCCTGCCAGATGTCCCCTGGGCCTGCAGGGCTAACTGCAGTGAGGGGGCTTGGTGCAGCCCCATTAGTTTTATTCAGTAGCCCCCACTGCCTCATCAGGGCTGTTACGTTGGGACTCCACACACCGCTTACCTGAAGCACAAACCCCAGGTCTAGGTCATCACCTTCCTGGGACCTTCAAAACAGAAGGCAGGCTAAGTCGCATCTGCTCACAACTGTGTCAGTCTTTCAGGGGCTCACAGCAGGGATAGGGCTGTATGGGAAGTCACTGTTGTGGAGTCAGTGGTTCCCTTCAAGGGAAATGTTATACCCCTACCAAATATTAACAGTTTCCCTATGGCAAACCTGCCAGAGAAGGGGTCATTTAACCACGTGAGATGCAGAAGCTGTAGCATAAGGCCAGGGTCCCAAGGTGGATGGTGGGCGGTCAGAGAAAAAAACACACTGATCTCGTCCTTCTTTCCAGACTTGTCCTCTCGAGATTCTCTCTCTACAGGGAAGAGGCTGTTCAGGATGATTTTTGAGACCCCAATCTTGTGAGGTTAACTGACTTGGCATATGTACATGATCATATTTACACTGAATATTCTTTTTCCTTTATGCATACTTCTCATTTATGTTGGTATTTTTATGGCTTTGGCTCTAACATTCCGATCCACTGCTTTGTGTATAGAGTCATTTTTTTCATACCCTGTGATACATTTTTGTGCAGTGAGGGGGGTGGGAAAGAGAATTAAAGATCCAAAGGTGCAGGCTAGGAGGATTGGAAAATACAAGCTTTAGACAAATCTAAACTACAGGTTTTGGAGCTCTGTTATTTAGCAGGCAGTGAACTTGAGAATACAGATCTGCAACAGGAGTCCGCTGTGTCTGTGTTACAGGAATGTTGGAATGGACATAATATATTATAAAACATTTGTACACTGGGAATTATTGAAACTCTAATAATTGGCAGTTTTCAGATGATTATTGTGATCCCCCAAAATATCAAACACTCATCAGAACTATATTTTTTAACTCACTAGATCAGAGAATATGCTATTTTTATTTATTTTTTAAAGATTTATATATTTATTTGTACAAGCACTGGGTACAGTCAGAAGCGCAGGAGGGTGAGAATTCACCAGAGCCAGAGTGGGGAGCAGAACAGGCAGACCGATGAAGCACACTGCTGAGGGGAGCAGCGGGCGGCAGGAGAGGTCTGCGCGCCATGTGGGACCCTCGCTGGTGGCCAGGGGTCGAACTGGCGCTGCAGAGGCTGCGGGCAGCTTCGCAGCCCACAGCTCAACCGCTGTGCCACCAGGGGAGACCCGAGAATATGCTATTTTTAGAACAGATATTTTTAATATGCTGAAGAAATCAGGTAAATTTATTTCCACAAAAAGACAGCTAAAAGGAATAAAGCAAAACAATACTTGAACATGTTATTTTTTTTTTCCTTCAGTCTGTGATCCTGAGTATTATACTGTTGGATTCTCACACATCTCCACAAAAAAAACCTGTTCAAATGCAGTTACCTCATTTACATCAAAAACAAAATATTGAATATTTTCAACTTGTATCACAAATATAAAATGATAACTTTCAAATACTTTAAACAGAAAAAATGAGATCCAAGTCACTTATATACTACATTATGAAAAAAAAAATTAGTCTATAAAATGTGACAATATCTATATGAACTTTCATCTACTGTCTTTCAGTTACCTATCACCTATTATCTATCCAATAACTGTCTATCAGCCAACGACATTGCCCAAGGAGTGACTCATGTGAAAAGGAAGCACAAGAGGATACATATTTTGTTAAAACTAACCAAGATCAACCTCGCAATACTAAAATATTAAGTTATATCATAAAACCAAAAAAGATATTTTCTTAAGATTTATTTATTTGTTTATGCAGGAAGCGGTAATAGGCCAGGACATGGGAGGGTGAGAGGATTCACCAGAGACAGAGCAGGGACAGAACAGGAAAACTGACGAAATGTGCTGCCAAGGGAAGCTGCCCCAGGCCTCCCTAGGTGCGGGGGGAGATGGGGAGCTGGGCCCCGGAGGACTTATAAGCCTTGGCTGTGGTGCCAGCCCTGGCCGCGAATCGCATGCATGCCCTGTCTGCCTCATCAAACAGAGCTTCCTTGTACAGGTCGGGGAAGGCACTGGGGGTGGTATTGCTGAGCTTGGCTAGAACCTTCAGCACCTGCATTTTAGTGGTTTCCACATGGGCCCTGGGACCCCACAGGAACTCGTAGGTGGGGGGATCACTGCCTGGCACCTGGCGGTACTCCAGGTATTTATCCCGCACCAGATCTTGGGTGATGAACTTGCGGGGATCCCCAAAGATGAGGTGCCTCTTGCCAGCATGCACCCCCAGGACATGGAGGAAATCCCAGACCTGCTCCTCGGAGGCGCGGTTGCCCTTCATGAAGATGACGCCCAGGAGCGCCAACAGGAAGCCCGTCTTGGGCAAGCCTGCACTCCCCACCAAATCTTCTTCTCTGGCGATCGCCATCTTGCTGGCCAGCGTGTAGGAGTGGTAGCTGGTGTTAACTTTCTTCAATTCCAGGCCACACACCAGGTCCATGCGATCCGCAGCTCTCCTGAGGATCTCGGGGAAGTGCTTCTTGTACTTCTTCTTGACCACCTTCAGCAAGGCTGCCTGAGTGATGGGCTCCTTGCTTTTGTACTTCTGCAGCAGGAACTGAACCAGCATGCTGGCCTTCCTGGTGAGAGGATCCTTGCGGTAGGTCTCCATGGAGGCTGCAGCCTGGGAGGTGCTGCCGCTCGCCGCCTCTTGGCCCTGGGCACCTTTGTGGGCCCCCGGGCACGAGGCCCCTGCATCGGGACAGCGAGGACCCTGGGCCTGCTTGGGCTCCTGGGGAGGATCAGCAGCAGGGGAGCCGGGGGGAGCAGCCTCAGATTCAGCAGCAGGTGAGGAGGGGGGAGAAGACTTCTCCCCCTCTGCTGAGGCAGCCTGGGCCTGGGCCTGGGTCTGGGCCTGGGCCTGGGCCTCACTGAGACTCTGAGTCTCCCCTCGGGCCTGGTGACGTTTCTTCCGGGCCCGGAGCTTACTCTTCTGACCGCGAGGCATGAGGACACTGGTCAGGGAGAGCAGGCACCAGGGTGGGCGGCAGAGTAAGTGATGGGGCCACCTGGAGGAGGGAGAATGAGAGGGTGTGAGCGCCCCCCACCAAATAGATGCCTCCTTGGCTTAGAACAAGACTGCTTCTGGGGGGACCTGAGGGCACTACTCTGGAACCCCACGAGGCTCTTCTTCTCCAAGGTCTGAGTGACCTGAGTAATCCATGGAGGCAGATTATGTGGCCTCAGGGTTCAGCCTCCCAGCTCTGCCTGGAGGTATCCGGGTTGCCAGCAGAGCCTGCCAGCGGGAACCCCTCTGTTGGCGTGGGGTGTCCTCTCAATTCATGGGCAGGATTGTCAAGTTCATTGTTGGCAAGACCTGGGCGCCCAGGCCCCTCCCTTCTCTGCCATGGAGACTTCACATTTCCATGACACGAGAAGGAAGTCCGAAGCGGCTTCAGCCCACCAGCCCTGGCAGAGTGAACCCACACCTGACTTGTCTCTGTCCCAGACTTGTTGGAGTGCTCCCTTGTCATTCACAACCCTCACCTGGCCTCCAGGGAAGGCCTGGCAGGCCTCCTTGCTGCTCTCTGTTGGCTTCACCTTCACACCAAGGCTTTTAGCCCCTGGGACCTGCTATTCAGAAGCCAGAAGAGCCTCAACCTGATCTACCCGCCTTGGGCCATCAAGGGCTGGAAGCAGGCGGGTCACAATGTGCTGGTCAACTCTGTTCAGGCCTGGGTAGTCCCTCTGGCCTCACTCACTTTCCCCCCCTTCGGTCTCCTAGAGTCTGTGTCCCCCGTTTGCTTGAGGTCTATCTTCTCTTGCTAAGGTGAGCCCCCACCTGAGAGCTCCGGGAGGAATTGAGTCTGGTGTTATCTGACCGCATTCGCCTGGATTCTCCCCCAAGGAAAGCAGCAGCAGGCAAGCCAGCCCCAGCCCCTTTGTGACTGCTCGCGCAGGTTCTCAGGCAAGGCTCTCTTTGACCCCTGGCTGTATTTAAGACTCTTCCCTCTGCTGAAGTGTAACTCCACCTCTCAGACCAAAGCCCTCACTTCTCTGTGAACCCCAAAGGGAAATGAGTGGCACTTCTGCCTGACAGGAATGCCTGGGCCTCCCTGAATGACAGTATTTAGGGGTTCTTCTGTTATCTAAATCATCACTTTTGCATTTATCTTCCTATTTCCTACCTTCTACTTCTTTGTGATTAATATGCTATTCTTTCTCTACCTTCTTGAGTTGTTTTGATGTCTTAAACATTTTTCTAGTAAATGTGTTAATTAAAAAAAAAAACAGCATTAAGATAGATGAATTCAACTTATAAACAATTTGAGCACTACACATAAAGCTCTATGATACTATTGTTGGAAACACCCCAAGAGATAGAGGCTGATTTTCGGGCTACTACATTTGTCAATTACTGAGAGAGGTATATGAAGTAACCAGTCTCTGAGTCCTTGATTTCATCCCTGTTGTGGTCTGGAATTCCTGCCTCCCTCACCCTCAGGTCTGTCCCTCATACTAAAGCCAGCACCACCCTGACAACCTCCCCAGAAGTGAGAATCTTCTCATCAACCATATCTTTCCTTGGTCTTCTGAGGCCCAGGGTGAGGAGTTAATTCTATGGTGCTCCCAATGTTAAGGGGAATGTGTTACCTTTGGTCCTCAGGGTATTCACCTTCACCTCCTACTGCTGCCCTTAGGCATATGCCTTGGACTAAGTACCTCACCCCTTATGACACAATAGGAGAAGCTGAGTATGTCACATCCTGTCAACAATGCCCTGGTGTCCTAGGACACCAGCAAGGGTGGGGCTCTGAGGGGCCCTCTGAGGTCTGAGGGTAGAAGTTTTCCTAAGTCCTCATTCAAGGTCCTTAACTTGCTTTCTGGCAGGGCCTAGGATTCTTTCTTTTGTTCACTTGAGTGGCCCCCCACACACACTGAGGGCCTCACATGTGTAACTCCCTTTCTGCAACATTGCTGACAGCCCTACCCAAAGATCTAAGGGCTGATAGTAGGAACAATCTCTGTACCACTGCATGATTCTGGGGTCCCTGATCCCCTCTGTTGACACTCTGTTCTGCCCATGTTTCCTAGCAGGGCCTGGGATGTCTGTCTCTGCAGAAACACAGACCATAGCCCATGTTAAGCAAACCAAGTCTTTCACTTGCCACCCAGGAAACCACACTCTGAATCATCAGAAAGTCTTTTCATAAAGGAGTTTATTACATTGGAGGTGGACCCAAGGAGTTAGGGCTAATACCCTGAAAAAATTAAGTTCCCAGAATGGCAGGGGTGTTGTGATTATCTGGGGGCTTGGGGGAGGGAAAGGAATGTGAGGAAGTGGGGGACATGAAGGGAGTGAGAAGCTTCATTTTCCCAGGTCCAAGGAGGTGCTGGGCAGCGCAGCCACCATGAGTTAAGGTGTCTTATCTTCTCTAGCGGAGTGTTCCTTGGTGGTCAAGAGCCCATAATGCCCAAGAGATGCTTGCCCTGCTGTTATCAACCTCACTGGGGGGGGGGGGAGCACAGAGAATTTTGGTCAATGAGACATAATTAGTTGTCAAGGTTCCCAAAGGAATGTAGTTAGAGAATAAATCACAAGGGTGGGGGGAGAGGGTTAGTTTAAATTTTCTAACTTAGTTTAAATTTTCTAGCAAAAAGGTCAATGTACAGATTAAGGGCGGTGGGGATCCAGCTGCACTTATTCCATGAGGTTCCCAGAGAGATGTCGGGAAACACCACAGGAGGCTGCTTCTTGCCAGTGTCCTGCCGGGATGACATTTCGGACTGAGGATCCTTGGGGACCTGCTGTTCGCAGTGGGGATGTACCCTCAGTTCCAGGGTCCTCACCAGGACTTCTGGCAGGCCCTGGGTTCCATTTCCTCTCATTCAGAGCAGACCCAGGGCACCCTTGGACCAAGACTCTCATGTCCAGAAGTGTAAGTGAGGGCCCTGCCTTGACCCTTTCTGTGACCCCAGTTATTATAGGGTGCTGTCTCCTCATTCATCAGCCTTCATTCTAACTCCCACCTCTTCTATGAAAGGGTTCCTGGGAAAGGCCACATCCCTCCAAACCCTTGATTAGTCTCCTACTGCAAACCTTTCAGAGAAAGAGTCGAGTCCCAGGGGTGAGGTAAGGTGGGAAACTGCAGCAAAAGCTCAGGGCCCAGGACACAAGTCGTGCTATCCAAGAAAACACCCCGAATCCCAAATACTTCCTTTGCTTTGCCAGCCAGCCTTAGCCATTTATATACCCGACTTCTAATAGATTTACTTTCTACAAGGAAGGGACTGAACCCAATGGTTTTGTGAGCCTTGGTCTTTTGTGGTTCACTGACATTTCCTTTGTAGCTAATGATATTGTTGCCCAACACTATCCCATCATCTCTTTCTTTATTCGATACTTGGCATTATTTTGGTGTTTTTATTGCATTTTCCTTGAGCTAAATGTTCCTAAATAATATGTGGGGGTCTGAAGCCTTGCACTTTTTAAAATATTTATTTATTTATGCATACAAGAACTGGGGTACAGGCCAGAGGTGCGGAGGGTGAGAGGATTCACCAGAGACAGAGTGGGGAACAGAACAGGCAGACTGACTGAAACACACTGCTGAGGGGAGCAGCGGGTGAGCCAGGAGAGGTCTGCTGTGCTATATAGGTAGCTCCCTGGCTGGGAATCGATTCATGCTGCAGTGGCTGTGGATCACTTCATAGGTTGTGTCTTAACGTCTTGCACCACTAAGGAGGCCGTGAAACCTTGCTTTTTAATACTTAGGATAGATTTCGGAATGTGAGCCCAGAAAATGAATAAAGTCACATACAACTGGAGGACTGGCAGTGCCCGGCTCTAGAGGAATTCAGAGCCAGGGTCTAGTCCAGCTCTGTCACACACCAGTCTTGATTGTGAGAATATCCCAAGTTCTTTAGCAGCAAAGTGAGCCTAATGAAGTCTACAATGCAGGACTATAGACACATATGTAACACATGTGAACTCCCTGGCACAGCATCAGGCAAAGTCTAGTGCTTTAATGAATGGCAGGTAGCACTAAGGATCACTTTGATCTGGGCCTCCCCTGGTGGCGCAGCAGTTGAGTGCTGGGCTGCAAAGCTGCCCACAGCCTCTGCAGCGCCGGTTTGACCCCCGGCTGCCGGAGAGGGTCCCACATGGCGTGACGACCTCTCCTGCCACGCCTGCTGCTCCCCTCAGCAGTGTATTTCAGTCAATCTGCCTGTTCTGCTCCCCACTCTGTCTCTGGAGAATCCTCTCACCCCCTCCCCACACCTCTGGCCTGTACCCAGTTCTTGTATGCATAAATAAATCAATCTTTAAAAAATGATAGAATATCTGCTAAAGGGAGAATATACCAGTTTCCATCCCCCAAAATACAGGAAACTTAACATATTGCGTGCACCCTTTGTTGTTCAGCTGTCGTGCTCTGCTGTCATTTGCCAGTGATGGAGGCAGCATTCTTAGTAGCACAAGCTGCCCCTTCCTTCAAAAGTAACATCTCAAACAGTGGAGTATGATTTACATTTTACTGCAGATCATGTGAACACCGTGGAAATAACTGGTACATAATAATTCTTCAAACTCATAAAGTCAGAGCATCATTGCAATACTGAGATGGAGTTTTATGTCTACTCCCACAGCATGTAACCAGATGCAAATTCTCCATCTGCACAATAAGTTGAATGAGGAATTGAGTCAAGATTCCTCCAGATTCTGAAAATACTTGTGAAACTGTAGGGCGGGAAGGAAGACTCTTCTGGCAGAAGAGACATTAAGAGTGTCCCCTAAAAGGGGAAGAGCAGAACCAACACAGGAGGACACAGAGAAAAAAATTGTGAAAAAGAAAAAGATATTAGAAGCTCCTCAAAAACTCAGCAGAGCAGAAGCACAAAGCTGGGAAAAAGTTTGACCGGAAATGTAAGTCCATCCGTCTTCTGAGCCACTGAAGCCCACCACTCCAGTAGAGAGCAGTGCATCTGGGGGTCCCCCTGAAACTTTTGTTGTGCTGTTCACTCTAAGGATGAGGGGAGCACGGTGTATATCATCAGTCTCAGTGTTTCTTCCCTCCAGCTCTCTATCACTCTGTGTGCTTCTATCTCTGTCTCTGCCTCACCCCTCTTTACAGTAGGTGAAAGACTATTTTGCCAAGCAGTGGATTTGGTTTTATGTCACGGGCACTTTCAATTCCTTACTATATTTGTAGCTCCTTTTTGCACTGGGTGTGGGAAAGCAGAGGACCGCATTTAGGGGCACACAACCAACATTTGCAGACTACCTCCTTGAGTTTCTCTTGCCATCTCTACTCTGATCTTTCTGTCCTGTTTTTAATTATTCATACTTTTTAAACTATGTTACTTTATAGTATTTTCTTATGTACATCTCCTTAAATTGTTTCTGGGACCAAATGGGGCACAGCATCTATGAATAAAACAAGTAGGATTACAAAAGGAAGGAAAGGAAAAGAAAGATAAGAAAATGATATAGAAATGTTTTTCAAAAATAGAGGATATAAAGTGTTTGCAGGGGGGACCTCCCCTGGTGGCACAGCAGTTGAGCGTTGGGCTGCCAAGCTGCCCGCAGCCTCTGCAGTGCCAGTTCGATCCCTGGCCGCCTATGAGGGTCCCACATGGCGCGCAGACCTCTCCTGCCGCCCGCTGCTCCCCTCAGCAGTGTATTTCATCAGTCTGCCTGTTCTCTTCCCTGCTCTGGCTCTGGTGAATCCTCTCATCCTCTTGCGCTTCTGACTGTACCCCGTGCTGGTGTAAAAATAAATAAATAAATACATACATACATACATACATAAATACATAAAGTGTTTGCAGGGAAATGTAATGTTAGTGGTGTGAGAATTTCCACGCCTTGACATTCAAATCAGAGTAAAACAGAGACGAATTGGATAACTTGCGTGGAAAGATAGATGTTTAGAGACACAGATGATCAATATCTGATTTCAGTCTGAGAAATTAAAAAAACAAACAAACCAGAATCTTGAGTAGAAGTGGTTTTGAACACAGCTGTAAGTACAGGAAACAGTCCATGTTCACCGAGGAATATCTAATACAGGAGTTGCAGAAAGGGCAGAAATAATGAAATACGTGATAAAGTAAAAGAAAGATAACTTCTTCATGATCCCGTAGTACTGTGTAACTGTTTAAAAGTATATAAGAGCAGCACATCATTGAGACCTTCAGCAAGGGCATATTGAAGAAACAAGATGATGAAGTGTCAAAATAAGGAATGTTTTTTATTTGCAGGATGAAATGCTAGTTGAAGGATGAAACAATATAGGGGAATCTACTGGAATCTACTTCCTATTTCTCCTTTTTGGAATATGTAAAACCCCATTTTTAAGAGAAAGTTAAAACTATTATAATTGCACTGCAAACCAATGATGCATGTGTATCTTCTATAACAAAATCTGCAGAATCACCTGTTATGTCAAGAGCATTTGGAGAGAAGGTTGGGGACTAATGAAGTTTGAAAAGAGGGCATGGTTCAAAAAAATAAAGAAATAAAGATGTTTACTGTACCAAAGAAAATCTATTTATTAAAAAAAAATAAAAGAACATGTAATAGATAATACTGTCAAGATGAAATTTGTGATGCACAAAGAAATATGGAATTCTGTCAATAAGAAGTCATTAACGACATTGTTAGTTTAGTTTGGGAATGAAAACTTGATAAAGAGCCATCTCGAGGGCAGAAAATGAG